CAGCCGTCATTGTTGTTTGGCGGGTCTGGGCTGGGGATTCGAACCCGTCACCTTAGGTGTACGTGGCTGGAGCCTTAGCTGGTTGAGCTATAGGCGCCGAGCCCAGGCTGCCGTCCATTATTCAGTTAACACTGACAGAGTACTTTTCTGTGTCTGTGCTCAGGTAGGCACTGACTTACTTGTGAAAAAGAAAAATCAGTTAATCAATTTAAAAGGTGATCAGTAAGAGGTGAGTGGTCAGGTTATACTTCATTAAAAAAGTGATCTTTTGAGTCGAGCAACAGGAGGTTGGAGAGGAGCTGTGGGTCTCACTCTGAGTGGTTGGGGAGTAAGTGGAGGGCTGAGCAGAGCAGTGACATATCTCACCTGTATTCTAAGAGGGTCACTGTGGCCGCTGTGGTAGAAAGTAGCCTCCAAATGCGAGGACAGGGGAGGGAGACAGTCCATTGAGTGACAAGAGATGGCAGTGGCTCAGACCAAGGTGGTGCAGAACAGGGCAGTGGTCGGATTCCAGCTATGTTTTGAAATGGAGCCACTAGGAGTTCTCGAAGGAAAGGTGAGGGGCATGACTGACATCAGTCAGCAGGGGTGACTCCGAGGGTTAGGGCCCCAGTGATGGAAGTGGAAAGATCCCAGGAGGACAGTGGTTTGGGAATGATGGAAGCCCTTTTGGAGACACCTGTCAGGCACCTCCGCAGAGGCGCACAAGCCTGGGCCCGGAGCTCACTGAGTACTTCCACAGCACCAGGCCACCACATCCCCAGGTTAGTTGGGTGGGACCTGTGGTTTTCACTGGGCTTCTGAAGATAACTCTTGCCTTTGGTTAAACTGGCCTATTCTAGAACTTGGGGCCCAAGATGGGGGATTCTGGTCCCTTACCTCCCAGATCAAGGACCTCTGCAGCACATGCATGGTCTGCTCTGCCCCAGAGCCCCTGGGTTCTCACTTGGTCCTCGAGCGGAGTCCCATCTCCGTGCCCAGCCTTGGGCTAATGGGGAGAGCTGGGCAGTGCCCCCCAGTTGGCTCAGGCCTGGGCCAGACATCCTCACCCTTTTCCTACTAGCGTGACTGTCAAAACTATGTCAAGATCCTCCTGCCACTCAACAGCAGTCACCTGTTCACCTGCGGCACAGCAGCCTTCAGCCCCGTGTGCACCTACATTGTAAGTGCCCTTCCTCAGACCTGGGGTGTACCTGGAGTTGGCCTGGGAACTGCTCCTCTTTCTGCCCTAGAGAGCTGCTCTTTCACACAGACCCCTCATGAAAGAGAGCTAAGGGGAAACCTCTAGGTCAGTGGTTTTCAACCTTCCTAATGCAGTAACCCTTTAATACAGTTCCTAATGTTGGGTGACCCCCAACCATAAAATTTTTCGTTGTACTTCATAACTGTAATTTTGCTGTTGTTATGAATCATAATGTAAATATCTGATATGCAGGATGTATTTTCATTATTTACAGAGGGGTCGGAACCCACAGGTTGAGAACTGCTCTAGGTAGTGCTGGGTCTGAGGCTACCACCCTGGCACATAGCCCAGCCCTGACAGCCAGCGTCTGCCTGTAGGGCAGGAGCTGCTATCACACTAGTACTAGTACAGAGGTGTCTTGCTGCCTCCAGCTTCCCTGCCCTCCCCTCTCATTCTCTTGTCTGCCCTTGTACACACCCAGCAGAGGCTGGCATTTGAGGCTGTGAATTGAACCCACAGCCTTGGAGTCAGACACCCCTGGGTTTGGGCTGTACTGTTGTCCTGCCTGCCTCTCGTCACCTTCTTCTTCTTCTTTTTTTTTTTTTTTTTTTTTTTTTTTTTTTTTTTTTTTTTTTTTTTTTTTTTTTTTTTTGAGACAGAGTCTCAAACTGTCACCCTGGGTAGAGTGCTGTGGCGTCGTAGCTCACAGCAACCTTCAACTCTTAGGCTGAAGTGATCTTCTTCCCTCAGTTTTCCTCATCACCTTCTAAGCCTCACTTCTTCTGTCAAATGGGGTTGATAATGCCAGCCACCTGAGGTCGCTGGGAGACAGTGCAGCACTGTGTCCTGGGTGCTGGGTGAGGGGATGGCCCCTCCGACACCTACTCCCTTCTTGTCCATACCCCTTGCCTGCAGAGCTGCCTTCTTTCCTCATTTCTCAGCACACCCCTGAGCCCACCTGTCTACTCCCCTGCAGAATGTGGAGAATTTCACTCTGGCAAAGGATGAGGCAGGGAATGTCCTCCTGGAAGATGGCAAGGGTCGTTGTCCCTTTGATCCCAATTTCAAATCCACAGCCCTAGTGGTTGGTGAGTAGTGGGGGCATAATAGACTCACTGAGACTCCATTTGGGGGAAGGCAGGGACACAGGGCTAGTCCTAGGCCTGAGCTGGTGGGTCTGTGCCAAGCTGATTGCCAGGGGTTCAGAGTGGTCATGGCCTTGGGCTTGGCTTTTCCAAGTTCCTGCTTCCTGTTCTGTGTACCACAGGCCAGACAGGCAGTGCTGGGGTCGCTCTGGGCCCTAAGAACAGAGAAAGGGCTATGCCAAGGCGGCCATTCCCACGGGAATGTTCTCTTGGCAGATGGCGAGCTCTACACTGGGACAGTCAGCAGCTTCCAGGGGAATGACCCGGCCATCTCTCGGAGCCAGAGCCTCCGGCCCACCAAGACTGAGAGCTCCCTCAACTGGCTACAAGGTGAAGTCTTCCTGCCACCCACTCAGTGGCAGTCACGGGGGTTCTGGGAGGATACACGGTCCCCAGTTCCTGGGTTCACTGAGATCCTCACTGGCCCCTACAGACCCAGCCTTTGTGGCCTCAACCTACATTCCCGAGAGCTTGGGCAGCTTGCAAGGTGACGATGACAAGATCTACTTCTTCTTCAGTGAGACTGGCCAGGAGTTTGAGTTCTTTGAGAGCACCATTGTGTCCCGCATTGCCCGCATCTGCAAGGTGAGGAGATGGGCCATCAAGGCAGCCACCCCAGGGACCCTGAAGGGTCTATGACTGCAGGATCACCCCAATCTGTGCCTCCCCCATCCTCCAGGGAGGACCATGTAGCAAATGGCTTTTTTTTTGTTTTTTTTTTGAGACAGAGCCTCAAGCTGTCACCCTGGTAGAGTGCTGTGGCATCACAGCTCACAGCAACCTCCAACTTCTGGGCTCAAGCTATTTCTCTTGCCTCTGCCTCCCAAGTAGTTGAGACTACAGGTGCCTGCCACAATGCCTGGCTATTTTTTGGTTGCAGCCATCATCGTTGTTTGGCAGGTCCAGGCTAGATTTGAACCTGCCAGCTCAGGTGTATGTGGCTGGTGCCTTAGCCACTTGAGCCACAGGCACTGAGCCTTTTTTTTCTTTCTTGAGACAGAGTCTCACTCTGCTGCCAGGGCTGGAGTGCCATGGCATCACAGTTCACAACAGCCTCCCAATTCCTGAACTCAGGTAGTCCTCCTGCCTCAGCCTCCCAAGTAGGTGGAACTACAGTTGTCTGCCACCATACCTAGCTACTTTTTTTGTTTTGCTTTAATTTCTTGTAAAGATGGGGTCTTACCCAGGCTTATGTTGGAACTCCTGGTCTCAAATGAACCTCCTGCTTTGAACTCCCAGAGTGCTAGGATTATAGGCATGAGCCACTGTGCTTAACCATTCTTTCCTATTAAATTAAAACGTATCTTCTTTGCTTTCTTTAAAAATTTGAAAATACAGAAACGTACACACCAAAATTACTTGAAAGATAAGGCGGTGGTATAGGACTGTGCTCAAGAGCACAGACTTGGGTCAGACTGCATGGGTTCAAACGCTGTTGGTCATGGCATCTTGGGCCATTCCCTTACCCTCTTGGTTGAGCAGATTTCTCATTCTTGTTAAATGGGAACAAGAACACCAACCTTGGAGTAGTTAATCTTTGTAAAGCTCTTGGAGATGAGGTAGGCAGTGACTAAAGTAATGCTTTTGTAACCCCACCACAAGAAGGAGTCGCTGCCAACATTTTAGAGTGTCCCTTTCCTTTTTTTTTTTTTTGAGACGGAGCCTCAAGCTATCCCCCTGGGTAGAGTGCCATGGCATCACGCTCACAGCAACCTCCAACTCCTAGGCTCAAGCGAGTCTCCTGCCTCAGCCTCCCAAGTAGCTGGGACTACAGGCGCCCACCACAGCGCCTGGCCATTTTTTGGTTGCAGCCATCATTGTTATTTGGCGGGCCCGGGCTGGGGATTCGAACCCGCCACCTTAGGTGTATGTGGCTGGCGCCTTAGCCGCTTGAGCCATAGGCGCCGAGCCGAGTGTCCCTTTCTGATGTCTCCTTTGCGTGTGTATGGCTTACATGTGTTTGTGCTGCTAGCTCCCTTTTAGATGTGAGTGGTGTCATGTCCTTCAGCTTCCTTATTTGTGCAGTCATGAAACATGGACGCCTTTCCATGTTTAGAGGACTCTGTGTAGCCTGGATTTCTTGCTGGTCCATGGTGAGGAGCATCTCCTGGTGGGACATGTACAATGTCTCCCCGATTTCTTGACTTTAGACAAATCTAGTCCTGGCTTTCACTGTTGTCTGTGTCAGCTGCTGGTAGGGAGCGGTTCCATCCCCAGCCAGTCCTGAGACCACCCGTCCCCTCCTCTCTCTAGGGCGACGAGGGTGGAGAGCGGGTACTACAGCAGCGCTGGACATCCTTCCTCAAGGCCCAACTGCTATGCTCCCGCCCCGATGACGGCTTCCCGTTCAATGTGCTGCAGGACGTCTTCACACTCAGCCCTAGCCCCCAGGACTGGCGTGACACCCTTTTCTATGGAGTCTTCACTTCCCAGTGGTAGAGCCCCCGGGACCTAGCTGGGGATGGGAGTGTGAAGTACAACTAGGACTGCAGCCCAGGAGCTGGCCTTTGAGTCCAGCTGGCTCCATCCTGACCCCCCATGGCTCCTAAATTAATCTGGCTATTTCCTTTGCAGGCACAGGGGCACCACAGAGGGCTCTGCCATCTGTGTCTTCACAATGAAGGATGTGCAGAGGGTCTTCAATGGCCTATACAAGGAGGTGAACCGTGAGACACAGCAATGGTACACTGTGACCCACCCGGCACCCACACCCCGCCCTGGTGCGGTGAGTACTGGCTGCTGGTTTCCTGCAAGCCTTGAGCAAATCACTTGGCTTCTGTGAATCTATTTTTTCATCTTTATAATGGGGACATAAGCCCAGGCCTGCTTGCCTTCCTGGATTAGACATGACAGTGAATGTTGGGTTTCTTTAGTCCTGTCTCAGGCTAGGTAGGTATTACACTGCTGGAATTATCCCTTCACTTGGCACACCTGCCCCTATCAGCTGTGAGTGACTGAATAACCAGGTCTTAGGGAAACAGTCTTTCTCTGAAAGCAGACCATGAGAAAAGATGCGAGTGCCAGTGGTTTATTTGGGAGGTGATGCCAGGATACCGTATGAAGAACCAGGATGGTTAAGGGAAGAAAGAGAAGATGTGTCTGAGTAACTATTGCTGTGGTCAGTGGGGGCCCTGAGAGACATCCGGGTAGCGTGGCACCATTTCAGAGCTTCATGAAACTGTAGGTCGCATGGAAACTGGCT